CCATTTCCTTTTTTACGAAAACAAAGTGTATATACATTTATCTTCAGTCATGTTTTTTCAGCATATATAACGTTTTATTTTATTTATAGAGTGATCTGTGTACATTAAACAATTTTATACACCTTTAAAATAATCGTATTATCATACGTATTTATAAACGTTTTTAATCCGTATGCATAATATAATTCTATTTTAAACAAAAGGAGAACAGTGTCGTCAAAATGAATTTATGTTAATGCGAGTGTGTTTAAGTATTAGTGGCTATAGAATTATATCATGTGTTGCTAATTGTGTTAATGTATTGACCTACACTAAATAATAACATAAGAGGTTTCGTTTAAACCAACAACGGTGTTTGATATTCTCATTCCTTATTACCAATATTGTTGAACTATAAATAATTTAAAATCAAGTATGCGTACAATATATTTTAAAACGATTGTTGATTCGGGTGTTATATTATATTGGGGTAGGCGTGGTCGAGTCGGCAAATCTTATGGTTGCTAAACCAAAAAGTCTTGAGGCATATGAGCTCGATAGCTTGGGGGAAACCTCTATTCTACAACTTCCACCTGGTAGTTTGTTTTTGGTTCGACAAAGGCTGTGGAAACAAATCCAAAAACGAAAAGCAGGCTGAAATGAAGTCAACGGCCTATCTATATGGCTCATAACCAGTTGATAATGTAATAATTAGTTGTGTTGGAGGGAATCCCTTCCAACATTAAAAATTTAGAACGAAGAAGAATATGATTCTATTACAGATGAAGTTGAAATTAATAATATTTAACACTTATTCCAGGCGTAGGTGACAATGGTTGACGTCTAAATAGTTTGACCCAAGATACAGAACACATATCAACACACATTTCACGTTGACTAGATAAATTATATTATGTATAATATTATTTATTTTAATTTATAACAATATTTACAAGAATGGATAATAATTCATATATGGATAATAACTGTGAAATATTAACCACCGAAAAGAGTAGCATCCCTTTAGGAACAATGTATAATAAAGTAGTGTTCACCAGTTTCTCTTACCTCGGCATGTGTAGAGATAGTGTGGTCAGTTTTATGTGTGGTCTGTTCTTTCTCTACCTTGAGATATTAATTCTTAAAAATGACGTTCTATTTTCTATTTTGAAAATCGAACTCCAGACTTCCTGAACACGCCTTAACACTAATTTACTTAATAGAGAGCTAATTATTTTAAAACAAAATAATCTTACCTGATTGCAAGTAAATACCCAGAAATTTATTTTTTAAAAAAATGCGAATCCAAAACTGCCGGCGGAAGTAAAGTTATGTAGTAAACTACATGTGCCACTCACTGGAGTGTAGAGTGTCTGCTCTTTCTCGTGGATGTAACGTCTGAACGTGACGTCATCCACTCCCTGTTTAGTCCAGAGATCTGCTTGTCGTATGGCATATCAGAGATGCCTGTCATCGTTTAAATACCGAGCGACAATAGAAACAACAAATGATTCATATCAACGACCGGCGTGGTCTAATATTTGTTCATGCGTGATTTCTGTTGACTGGTGGTACATGTCAGATGTTAGCAATACAAACCGTCAGGAAATCGTGACGTCTGCCGAGGCGAACTCATGCATGACTTAGAATACCACATGATAGATGTTGACTTCCGACAGTTTTAAAGATAAGAGAAAGTGCTCATTAAAAAAACCAAATGGGCGAGTTAAAAATATTATGCTAATTGTAATACAATCTGTGATAGATAGCAATCGAGGCGGATTATTGCACTTAGGTGGCCTAAGCATTTCTAAAATTTGCTTCCCCCTCCTAACAAAAGCAATCAATTAAACAACTCTTAATTAGCAATCATATAAACAGTAAGCTAAGCTAAACTTAACACATTCCAATTTACATGTAATCATATTGATGATTTTTTCTTCTATTTTTTTTAAACGGCAAAATCTAAGAAAATTACTAAACGTATTTTGTTTGTTTAAAAAGAATTTCTACTATCTGGAGCTTCGGTTAAAGGAAAATTTGTCGAATAACTCGGGCTGTCAGAACAGGAGTGGCAAAGTCTGGAATTATCTCACAATCAAAACCTAGCCACTTGTACTTTGACTAGAGTCACGTTTGATATGAGTAGTTGCCCTTGAGACGAATAAGGCGGCGGGTGTGTGACATCACAGTGGATACGGAATTTCCAGTGTCAACAAAAAGACGGCATTAGGGGCTCAGGTGTTGGTATATTAAGTATACTTTTTTATGTTTGTCGATTCCGCTTGATTAGATACCCGCTCTATGTGTAGAATTTTAAAATACATATTATGCAGATACAAATGTTCCTTTTAAAAAATATGTTTTACACATGTATTTAAAGATTTAAATTAAATTAATGATATATTCATATTGTAAAAACACACTTTTAATTATACAACTTGAGAACCAATACTTCATTTTAACTAAATGGATTCCTCGGTAAAATATATTGTTGCGAATTGAAAAGATTAATAAAGCTAAATTTTCAGTCGGCTATTGCTTTTCTATGTCTGTTTTTTATTTTTTATTTTTATAAGGTTCCAACACTATTTTCAATTTTCAATGGGATACGCTTGACAGTTCTTCTTATTCGAGAACACAGTGAATTCATCAAGATCTACCAATAAACTAGAAATGTAGGCCAAACCAAATTAATTAGTTAAAAACAAAACACACGTATAAAAATAATAATAACAGCAAATAATTGAGTTTCTTTACTAAACTATTTCAGTCCTTAAATATTTCATATAAATCTTTGTTTCTTAACCATTGAATAGGTTAAGTTAGGGTATAATTTAATAAAAACTAATATTTGGCATAATTTTACTTTATGGCAAAGAGTGGCCTCCCTTCAAAATAGTACAAAACATTTACAAAAGATGTGTGTGCTCTTCTGGCCGAGATGACTCAGCTAATTCATTATTAGCATTTCGACGTTAGCTTTAATAATTTATGTATTTGTTATCTATATAAGGTTCTAGCTCAGACAAATCGATGTTTTTAAAGATAAAAACATGTAAGCTGAGAGGTGACTTCTTTTTTCTGATGTGTATGGTATAGTTGCCTTTCGTACCTGACGGGAAAAGGGGCAGGTGAAGTAGAGTTCTACTGTTTCTGTGACCACGGCATATGATGGGATAGTGTGGTCAGCGCCATGCTCAGCGAAAAATCTATGTTTTTAAAAGATAAAATCATGATGGCTCAGGTGTGATGTCTTTTTAAATGTCGGGTTTGGCTTTTTGTGACGATATGTGACGGTTGGGGGGGGGGGGAGGAGATAAAAAAATCGTCAAACAAGCGTAGCGTTATTTTGGAATGACCCCTAAACCCGCAGTTATCCGAAGGATAATGGGTGGTCTAGTATATATATATATATATATATATATATATATATATATATATATACGTACTTTGTGTAATTGTCTGTAAACCCGTGATATAGAAAATACACGACAACAACTGAACGTGATAAAACACAGACACGTTTGGAAAATCAATACATAATTTATAATTATATTTTACATTATTAAAGTATATACAACAGTTTATTGTGACATGGAATAAAAAAAATGTGTCTCAAAAGACAACATAGAAACAAGTAGAAACACAATATTGGACTGTCAAAGGGAACTTAACGAATTTGAATCTTTCTAATGATGTGTTTTTTTTAATGTGATAATTATTTAATGTCATTTTAAATATACTTTTAAATAAATTCGAAGTAACTGATGTTATTAATAATTTTAGTAACCAAATAATATTCTGGTGGAAAAAATTTTTCATCTTTTTCACTAAGTTTTACATAAATAAAAACAATTTCCTATTAAATGCATTCAAATAAAAAAATTCAAACAAATTTTATTCCGACACTAATGGAACACGAAGCGTTAACACATAAATTGTATCAAAAATTACAAATCAAAACTTACTGGCATAAACGTCATGGCTATTTTTTTTTTGTTGTAATTTCAACTTTTTATTGAACCGTAAAGCTACCCATGAGACGAACTTAACCGAAACAAAAACACAATTTTTCGTCCATGTTGCTAAGTATAAAATTGTCTCTCTGGGCTACCCGGGTTGATGCCTCCAAAGTTCACAAATCTATACAATAATTTACAATAAAATAACGACGTGGACAAACGTTGCTTCAAATTAAATTAGAATCGCTCACACCTATAAACAACCTGACGTGAAGTATAAATAAATGAAACGCAATTAAGGGGGTCGTCCATACATTACGTCACAGAACCAAAGGGGAGGGTGGGGAGCAGACTTTTGTGCCGAAGGTAGAGACTAAGAAATATATATTGTTATATTTTTAGCGCAATTTCCATACGGACAATTGCGATTATTAACTCGTCAAGGATGTGTGCCCGATGTGTGTCCGCAGCTTTAAGTCGTATCTCCTCCTCAACGAAGCAATATCGAGGACTAGTTCCAAAAGCAAATATGTTAAGCTAGTTCCGAGAATGATTTTTTTTTATTTTAGAAGGAAAAATTATGAAAAAGTACGAAAATATAAGTTGAAGATTTTTCTATTTATTGTTACATTATTTTAGAATTTAGAGCAATGTGTATTGTTATATTTTCTAATTTTAGAAAGAAAAATTATGAAAATCTACGAAAATATAAGTTGGAGATTTTTCTATTTTTTGTATTTTTTTCTAGAATATCGTTTGTTATATTAAGGAGGGCAATTGATTTCGTGACTCAAGCTATGTGTGACGACATGTGAGCACAAAGAAGTGGAAATAGCTGCTTGATGTCATGTAGGGGCGACAACTTTACCAGAGATTATTGTCATCACTTTGTACAAAAATGCATCGAAAATAAATTCATAAAAACACAGTACCTATACACAGTATAAATAAACTTGTAATAATATATTTAAAATAATACTATTTTATTACTGTCCCCCCCCAACACCCTCCCCTCTCGACCAACTCCCCCCACCCTCTTCATTAACTGGTTCAAAGAGTTACACACCCTGAACAAATCAGCAGAATAATTTATCACAGTTCCATCAATCAATTGTGTAAATGGTGGTGTGTACGTGATACCCTGAAATAGTTAAGTTAGACCAAATTTGGATGTTATACATCTCTTAAAAAATTTTTACATCGGGGAATTTTCAAAAAAAAATTCTGCCGAAAAAAAAAGGTGAAATTTCTTTTCTTTTGTTTCATTAAAAAATAATACAATCGCCCACATGGTGGTTAAATGTGATAAATTAAGGCATTAAAAAACTTGTAGCAGTGTCAGAAAACATGGCCGCCCAAGACCGTCGTCAACGTGAACATGCGTTAGTTAATCGTCCCCGTCCCCTCCCCCCTCTCCAGCACCGATAACCCCCATGACGGCTGCGGCCAGACCAGCGACGACCACACAGTGGACACAGAAGATGATTTTCTTGATCAGTTCGATCTGAGAAAGAATGTTGTAAAAAAAGCAATCTGTAGATAAGACACATTTTGGAACAAACATTAATTAACATTCGGATTTAAACAAAAAGTCCTGTCAGTTAGTAGTTACATAAGAGTCGTACAGATAATATACGTATTATTAGAAAACAATTTTATTTTATTTAAGTAATCGTCTATAATGACGTCATATTTTTTTTATCCCTTCCCCCACGACTGTTTCTTCCAGACATTTTTCTCGGGGGGGGGGGGGGGTACTTGAAATTTTTCCGCGGGGCGGTAGACTTTTTTCTTGAAGGGGGCGGACACTGTTAAAAGTATAAATTTTCTATATAAATTTCATTTCGTTCGGGGGGGGGGGCGGTAGACTTTCTTCGGGGGGAGGGGGGGGGGAGGCGGAGCCCCCACGAAGAGATGCCTGGAAGAAACTCTGTCCCCCACCCACAGTCGTTATTCACAAAATAAACTTTTTGTTTCTATAAAATATTTAGTGGTTTCCTTTTTGTAATGGGAGATAACCTTTAAATGCAAACTTACTGAAACCACACAGCTATTCGCAATCAAATACTGAGATTTTTGGAAAATGTAGATCAAGGTTAGTTAATTTAATTAATTTTCAATAAATATTACAAAAAACAACTTTTCACGTGCAAAACGGCAGCTAAAGTTAGTTTAAAGTAAACTATTTTTTAAATGGTGTGACGTTACTTTAAAAAAAAAAAATTTCGTTACTCATCGTCAAAAAAAATCGGATGCAACCATTAGAGTGTGACGTCATTTATGTCCGACCCCAAAAGACGAAAGACCGTCATGACTATACTATAAACATTTACATTTTTATTTGTTAAGGAACAAAAAGAAAGAGTTGGTCATGTCAGGGAGAGGTCATTTTCACACGTTTTTTTGTGAGAGGGAGAGGTCATCTTTCTTTACCGGAAGATGTCAATATCACAATTTCACGCGTTTATTAATGAAATTTTTTTAAAGTAAAAAAAAAAAAACATACCTTTTTGTCTGAAACGTCAGTGTCTGCTTTGGTGTCATTTGCTCCAGGGTTGCTCATGTCGTATTCTTCCTTATGCACTGGAGGGATATATATAATACATATATATATATATATATATATATATATATATATATATATATATATATATATTTATATTTATATATATATATATATATATTTATATATATATATATATATATATATATATATATATATATATATATATATATATATATATATATATATATATATATATAAATATATATATATATCTATAATAATAGTTTCGCTGTCTGTCTGTCTATCTGACAAGAACGCTCTGTCTGACAAGAACGCTCTAGAGAAAACACAAGCAATTTAAAAACATGCACAGTAATTCGAAAAACGAAGTATGACGTCGACACATTTAGCGCACAGAGTAGAAAATAATCTCAAACCCAGAGAGTGCACACAGTTATATGACGTCATTGATTATCGAGTAAACATATTCAATACAAAGGCAATTTGGTCTAATCTAAGTGGTTTGCGTGAAGAGTTTCTTGCATGCAATTCTTCGGGTAGGGGCGAAGCCCCACCCCCCGCGTAAGAACGTCTGAGCCCCTCCCCCTCCCCAACTCAAAAGAAATTTCCTCATCGATACTCTATAATAAAATTAATGTGTCTAATCTAAAAAGTGGTTTTCCTGCAATGGGACGGTAGACATGTTTTTTTTTTTTGGGGGGGGGGGAGGGGTGGAGGGGTGGGGGGGGGGGTGTGTGGAGGGGTGGGGGGTGTGTGTGGGGGGGGGTTGTGGGGGTGGGGATGGTGTGTGGGGGTGGGGATGGTGTGTGGGGGGTGGGGGTGGTGTGTGGGGGGTGGGTTGGTTTCAGTGTTTCTTTCAGACTTTTTCCTCCCCGGAGAGGGGTGGGGGGTACTTGAAATTTTCGGGGGCGGGGGTAGAATTTTCTGGGAGGGGGCGGACACTGGAAAAAGTATATAATTATATTTCGTTGAATGGGACGGTAGACATGGTTTTTTTTGGGGGGGGGGGGGGGGCGGTGGAGGGGGGGGGGGGGTTGGAGGGGTGGGGGTGGGGGTGGGGGGGCGGTGTGTGGAGGGGGTGGTGTGTGTGGGGGGGTGGGGGTGGGGGTGGGGATGGTGTGTGGGGGTGGGGGTGGTGTGTGGGGGGTGGGTTGGTTTCAGTGTTTCTTTCAGACTTTTTCCTCCCCGGAGAGGGGTGGGGGTACTTGAAATTTTCGGGGGCGGGGGTAGAATTTTCTGGGAGGGGGCGGACACTGGAAAAAGTATATAATTATATTTCGTTGAATGGGACGGTAGACATGGTTTTTTTTTGGGGGGGGGGCGGTGAAGGGGGGGGGGTTGGAGGGGTGGGGGGGTGGGGGTGGGGGGGCGGTGTGTGGAGGGGGTGTTGTGTGTGGGGGGTGGGGGTGGGGGGTGGGGATGGTGTGTGGGGGTGGGGGTGGTGTGTGGTGGGGGGTGGGGGGTGGTGTCTGGGGGTCGGGGGGGTGGGGGTGGGGGTGGTGTGTGGGGGGGTGGGTTGGTTTTAGTTTAGAGAAAAGAGACAGCACTATCAGCCTAGCGCCCGTTGTACCCTTCCTCAACGGGCCATTTATCTAGTATATATATATTTATATATATATATATATATATATATATATATATATATATATATATATATATATATATATATATATATATATAGGCTCATAGGCTGTAGGTTTACATGATTTAAGAATTTAAAGGTATTAACAGACACACAGAGTAGAGAGAGAATATCGGTATGTTTTATTGAAAAATACAAGTATGAAAATTATTTTAAAAGATTAAATGTTATCAATGTGTCCGGCTGTTATGAGATAGACTTCCTTGGGTGTCAAACCCATTGAGGGTGTCTTGATTTAGAAAGTTTGGGGAGATGTGAAGTAACCACAATGGCTTATGTGGCTGTATTAATTATATAAGGTTTGAGTAAAGAGATAATTTAATAATCCGACAAGATTTAGATTAGGTAAAGGATGATAACATCTGCTTAAATAAAAAAAGGCTGTACATAAGAAAAAAAATATAATTAAAAAGATGTTAAAATTGGAAAATGCTACATATTATTTTTTATTGTAATTTAATTTTATTTTCTAAAATTGTGGCTCATCTGAAAAGCAGCCATTATTTTTTATTAAGGATGGGAAAAAAAATTGAAAACCTTTTTGCCTAGCGTAGCAGCTGATGAGTTCCAGCACTATTTCCACACACAGTTGCCAGGCAACGTAGGCAGCGAGGATGTAGACAGCCCCATACGGCACTGAGGCAGTCGATATTCTTACGCCGAAGAAAATTGTGATCACTGAAAGCGAGTGAGAAAAAAAGAATTCGTTCTTAATTGTAACACTGGAAACAAATAAAAAAAATAGAATCAGCTCACATGGTAGATATGAGCTGACACCCCTACAAACAAAATAGTATTACCCACCTGCTAAGATATGAGCTGACACCCCTACAAACAAAATAGTATTACCCACCTGCTAAGATATGAGCTGACACCCCTACAAACAAAATAGTATTACCCACCTGCTAAGATGTGAGCTGACACCCCTACAAACAAAATAGTATTACCCACCTGCTAAGATATGAGCTGACACCCCTACAAACAAAATAGTATTACCTACCTGCTAAGATATGAGCTGACACCCCTACAAACAAAATAGTATTACCCACCTGCTAAGATGTGAGCTGACACCCCTACAAACAAAATAGTATTACCCACCTGCTAAGATATGAGCTGACACCCCTACAAACAAAATAGTATTACCCACCTGCTAAGATGTGAGCTGACACCCCTACAAACAAAATAGTTTTACCCACCTGCTAAGATGTGAGCTGACACCCCTACAAACAAATGGGCCCAGTTAAAAATTGGCCTTTTGGGTGTGCCGGGGTGAGGACGAAACAACGCCATGATTGGCTGTAGAAAAATATTTTGGTGTTCATCATCACAGTAGTTGGGCACAAATGTAAAAATAAAATGGTTACAATGTGTCTTTGTTTTTAAAATATACAATTACTTGAAGGTTTTTAGATAAATATAGTAAAAATAAATGACTTGTTTTGAAGACATTCAAATTTTACTTACATTTGCTAGTGTAAGAATCATGACGATGACGCCCATTATCGGATGCCCGACTAGATATTCTTCTTCTCCGTCCATCTGAAGTTTAAAGTAAATTGTCAAAAATCCATTTTATAATTGCTTCCAGCATGGCATTTTGTATGTTTGTAGAGAAGTGTGTTGCGAAATACATTAAGTATACATTAAAGTTTCATACACCATTTGATAGCTTACTATAAGCATTTGTTATTTTTTGGGTCCCTTATGAAAACGATTAATTTTACTGAGTAGTTTTTTTTTTTGTATATAATGAGAGTTAGTCAATTTACATATTATATAAACTCTAAAAACCAATTAGCACACTCAAACTAAAATAATTGATGCTAAAAAAAAAGATAATCAAATTCAAAAGATGGTTCGTCATTTTTTGATTAGAGGGAAAGTTAACTAAAAATTGTTTAATGCTGAGATGGTGGACTTCATGAAACCTACATCAGCCTACATCAAACTACCTAAAAACTACTTCAAATTACATCAAACGCATCAAACTACATGAAACCTACATGAAACCTACATGAAACTACACGAAACCTATATGAAATTTCATGAAATCAACATCATACTACATCACACCTACATCACTCCAATCCTGCTCCTCAGCGAAAATAATGATAAAACCGATGGCGGTAGCACAAAGGGCGGCAACCATGACGAACCTGTGGATCTAAGGGGAACAGGGCATTTCCCCCCTGTCAATTACCCCCCGGATATTTCCCCCCCGACATTACCCCCCAGAGTAATTACCCCCCTGTCAATTACCCCCCTGTCAATTACCCCCCGCCCAGTAGGACATTACCCCCCCGGACAGGGTTAGGGTTAGGGCTAGGTTTAGGGTTAGGTTTAGGGCTAGGGTTAGGGCTAGGACTAGGGTTAGGGTTAGGTTTTAGGGCTAGGGCTAGGGTTAGGGTAAGGTTTTAAGGCTAGGGTTAGGGTTAGGGCTAGGGCTAGGGTTAGGGTTAGGGTTAGGTTTTAGGGCTAGGGCTAGGGTTAGGGTAAGGTTTTAAGGCTAGGGTTAGGGTTAGGGCTAGGGCTAGGGTTAGGGTTAGGGTTAGGTTTTAGGGCTAGGGTTAGGGTTAGGGTTAGGGTTAGGGCTAGGGTTAGGGTTAGGGTTAGGTTTTAGGGTTAGGGTTAGGGTTAGGGTTAGGTTTTAGGTTTTAGGGTTTAGGTTAGGGTTAGGGTTAGGACTAGGGCTAGGGTTAGGGTTAGGGTTAGGTTTTAGGGTTAGGGTTAGGACTAGGTTTAGGGTTAGGGTTAGGGTTAGGGCTAGGGTTAGGGTTAGAGCTAGTGTTAGGGTTAGGGTTGTGTCTAGCTATGGTTTTGGTTTTGTGTGAAGTTTCAGGCTAAGGTGGATGCTTAGGTTTTGGCCTTTTTCTTAAGGTTTGGATTAAAGTAGTATATAGGTATAAAATTCTAGTTAGAGTAAAATTTTAACTTGAGAGGGGGGGGGGGGTAATTCCCCGGGGGGGTAATTGACAGGGGGGAAATTGACAGGGGGGTAATTGCTCCGGGGGGTAAATACGGGGGGGAAATGTCCGGGGGGGAAATATCCAGGGGGGTAATGTCCTGTAGCCGGATCTAAGGGAGGTTAAAACGTAATTAATCAATAACATAAGTAATCAATCATTTTATATAAGTTTTTTTTATTCAGGTTAACCAAGTAAAGTTTAAATTTTGAGCTATAAATGTAGAATAAAATATTATAATTATCAGACTAATTAAATTGCTGTGTGATCATGTCCGATTATTCTACTAGGACAGATGACACCAGTAGACACCTTATCTCACCTGGAACCACGCCTTCTGCGAACAAAGTGACTGTGTCCAGATAGGCTTGTAGAACCTGGCCGTCACGATGCCGACACTTGAGAAGAAGATCCACGCCACCACCATCAGACAGCCTGCAACAACCAATTGAAATGATACCTGAATGTTGTATTTCATGAATGTAGGTTTAATTATAAAAACAACAACCGTGGAATGAGCAAGCTTTTCTCCGAATGCCCCAACAGTGTTCCAAAATATATGTCCATTATTAATAAAAGGAGGCCGCTGCAGTTTTTAAGACCGCTTTACGTTGATTAGGGGTTGTCTACCTTCTCAATACCCTGCACACACATCTGAATTAAAAATTGATGTACATTGTGATTGCTTAGTAGATATTATTCTTTACAAATCGCTAAAATAGTTTTCTTCAGAAAATTGAAACATTAGGATATAACACATCATACTGCAATCCTTTGTGGACTGCAAAATAGAACACTTTCTCACTCTGTTGGATACCTTTGGAGTGATTGTCCAGGGCCTAGCGCTACCCCCCACCCCCCCCCCCCCCCCCCACCCCACACACACCCACCCACCCTACGCTACAGTATTTAAAAGATTTTTTTTTTAATTCTGGATTTCTCGAAGCTCAACCGAAACGAAACAGCGAGTGATTGATAAGCTAAGAAATAAGATCTTACCGTGTGATTGATAAGCTAAGGAAAATCTTAGTGTGTGATTGATAAGCTAAGGAAGAAGATCTTACCGAGTAATTGATAAACTAAGAAAGAAGATCTTACCGTGTGATTGATAGCTAAGGAAAATCTTAGTGTGTGATTGATAAGCTAAGGAAGAAGATCTTACCGAGTGATTGATAAGCTAAGAAAGAAGATCTTACCGTGTGATTGGTAAGCTAAGGAAGAAGATCTTACCGAGTGATTGATAAGCTGAGAAAGAAGATATTACCGTGTGATTGGTAAGCTAAGGAAGAAGATCTTACCGAGTGATTGATAAGCTAAGGAAGAAGATCTTACCGTGTAATTGGTAAGCTAAGGAAGAAGATCTTACCGAGTGATTGATAAGCTAAGAAAGAAGATCTTACCGTGTGATTGATAAGCTAAGGAAGATCTTACCGTGTGATTGATAAGCTAAGGAAGATCTTACCGTGTGATTGATAAGCTAAGGAAGATCTTACCGTGTGATTGATAAGCTAAGGAAGAAGAACTTACCGAGTGATTGATAAGCTAAGGAAGAAAATCTTACCGTGTGCCTTGTACATAGGGTTGCCGTGGGGCTGAGGTTGTAGGTCGACTTTGTCGGTGACTTTTGCTGCGGCGTTGGAGGCGAAGTAGTCGTCGCCATGGTAACTTAGACCCACCGAAGAGCCGGCTGAATGGTGGGAGGGGGTGGGGGAAGAAATTGTATCCTATAAATTTATTTTAATTTCTTTCATCGTCTTTCGCTGCTTTCAAACACAAATCCAATACTTTGTAAACAGACAATTCGTTTTTTTGCCGTGAGAAATGGAAGCTGATTCCTAATGACGGCAGTTACTTAGTAGATACTAGGTTGTTGTAGTGGTAACATTGCCATCCTTTTCCGTTCGTGACACAGGGGCCAGATGAAGTAGAGTTCATCTGCTTCACAGACCTTGGCATATGAAGGGATAGTGTGTTCAGCGCTATGCCCAACCACATTTTCCCCACTAACGTGAGTAGGTACCCATCAGAGCTGGATGGACTCAGGGACATTCTACTAACTTGAACCCGGATTCGAACTCGAGACTTTTGGGTTAGCAGTCTAGCTGTCTACTCTCTAGTAGTCACAAGTAGAGTAATACATTATTTAAAACTATGTTGTTAAAATGACCCTTCAGCTTCTTCATCTGCCGACAGTGTTTCAGACTTTTTTCTCCGGGGGGGGGGGGGGGGGGGTGCGGAGACTGGTTGAAGTATATATTTTCAATATAAAAAATGTCTATGGCATAAGGGTGAGGGCGGTAGACTTGCTTCAGTGATAGCTGTAAATCCCCCCCCCCTTCATCACCCTCACCACCACCCCCACCCCCTTGATAATCCGGATTTTTTAACGCCTGCAAGTGAAGACAACTTACAAACGGAGGCGGATCCTCTGGCAAACAAGATGGTCCAGGACTGGTCAAGTGCACGTGGTTCTGCCGTCGTGCCAGCGATGGAGCGTGTGAACGTGCAGGTGAGTACACCGCCGGTGTTGGATGAGGAGCTCATTAACACTTCCTGTGGAGTTGACGTGTTTCAATTGTTTCAATTGGAACCGGTGGGGCGGGGATTAAAACAATGAGCTAATGGTGTTAGTTTCATCTGATTATCTATAAGCATAGTAACAATCAGTGGCGCCACAAGGCCGAGTGTAACCCGGTATAATAATGCTAGGTGTCCTCACTCCTCTAGAAAAGCTCTATAAGAACTAAAATTACAGACAGTTTGGTGTCACCCCACCTGAGTTATTGTCATCTTCTCTGGCCAGATTTCTCCCCCCCCCCCCCTCTTCCTTCCTTGTGACGCTACTGATTTCAATGGACTTTCTAAGTGTGCCTTATTTAAAGTTAGATTAGTGCCGTTCAAATATGCCTAAAGATTTTATAATTTGTTTTACTTACCGTATCAGTAACCATTTGCACATGTGTGCCGACATTGTTGGCAGTGAACTTCGTGATAGGGCTGCCAGAGGTACAGCCCATAACGGTGTCGTCTCCCTGTGGAGGGTAAGGAGTTAAATGTGAGATGGAGTCTGATACACTTACACGCGTCACACCATCGATACATGCGTTATAACACCGTCACACCACCGTCACACCACCGTCACACCACCGTCACATGCGTCATATTTGATTTAACCTATATATAAAGTTTCATCAACCTAGCTGTAACGGTACTCAAGTACTCGTGTTCACACACACACACACATACAGACTAAATTGCAAAACTATATATTTGCAACTCGTGTAGGTGTAAGACGTCGAGATTTGTGAAAATAAAAAACGATTACATTACTTCCTCTATTACCCTTCTCCGTATTCGAGAAAGTAAAAATTCAACAACAGAAGCTTAAAGAAAAGTTAAGGGGAAGTTAATGCCTAGGGAAACCCACGGGTCTAGCAGTCAACTATGGGTGTTAAACATGCTCAAGGCTTTAGATCCTGATTCTAGAGGTGTGTCTGGTATTTGAATACTGTCGGGTTATGCTATTCTACATTTAAATTATAGAAACACAATTCCATCACGTAATGGAAATGGCAGGTTTATCAATGGGACCAAAGCTAGACTGTCTTACCATGCTGGCGTCTGAAGAAAAGCCCATAGCAATGTAGGAGCTTGTGGTGGGCACAGTGGCGGAGATGGTGTAGATGGCGCTGGTGGTACTACTCGTCTGCCACGTGATGGCGAAGGTACAGGTCGTGCCCTGGCAGTCTGTGAAACATCCTTTTGAGGTGCCACATCCGGCGTCCTTGGTTACTTGGGCTTGGGCTACATCTGGTGATACAAGATATATATATATATATATATATATATATATATATATATATATATATATATATATATATATATATATAAATATAAATATAAATATATAAATATAAATATATATATATATATATATATATATATATATATATATATATATATATATATATATATATATATATATATAAAATACCCACAAATAGAATCATTAGATTAGATTGTCCTAAGAAAGAGGAAAGAAGGTAGACTAAAACAAACTTGGAAAATATAGTTGTCAGTGAAGCAGAAGCAGCAGGAATGACGTGGACCAAAGTTGGTGGAATTGCTCAGAACCGAATGCGATGCAGAGATATAGTTGCGTCCATAAGCTCCAAAAGGAGTCCACATGGATGGTTGTAATAACAACATTGAAATTTCGGATTATGTCAAAATAAGCCAAGCCAAAAAGTTAACCCCCGCCACTCAACAAAAGAAAAAGAGTATAAAAAAAAATTCATAAAAAACGTTTTAATAACAAGCTTTTATGTAATGATGCACTAAAAAGTAGAAAATAAATTATAGACTACTATTTAAATAACTATAAAGAAAAGCGGGGGTTAGTGCATCATTACATAAAAGCTTGTTATTAAAACGTTTTTTTATGAATTTTTTTTTCAGTACTTTACATGTTTTATTTACAATAGAGTTACATGACTAAAAACCATTGCGCGCCTACTGAACATCACGTTCAGTAGGCGCGCAATGGTTTTTGAACGCAGCCATTACGTGATGGCGCAGCTATTGAAGGTGATGACGCGTGTGGTGTGGTTGGCTAGACATGCCTACTAATTCGGTCCAAATTTTAATTAATTCATAAAAAATCAATTAGGCATCCAATTAAGTCAAATTTAGTTTCAGATTGCATTGTCTTCATGTCTTGACCCACGTGCCAACTGTGAATCGTGTCGGTCAAGTACAACTGTCCGAATTTTCACTCCTGCGTTTCCGTCTAGACTGACGACTGACGACAGACTGACGAGGAAGTGAGTTAAATAAAAGCTTGTAAAAAGAGGATTTAAGTTTAGATTTTATTGAAGAGGGTGAAATTGGCACAAATCATTAACAATTTGCATGAAAAGGTCTTAATTTTGGTAACGTACAACCCTAACCCCAACCCTTAACCTAGAGGCTGATAAGGAGTTGTTTTTATATCGTGGGTTTAAATGTTCAAATGTCTCGGGGCTTAACTACGCATTTTTTGCATTATTGGCGGGGCTTATCTGGAATAGACCCGAATTTTTCGATACAAGTCCGATACTTACAACTGAACGCCACAAGCATGGCCGCTAGGCGGGTAAGAAACATGTTGAACCCGTTGAAAGACGAACACAACAACACCGATGTCCCTTAGTTTAGCTGTGGACAGTATTTGTGTAATTACTACAATCGGAATAATAAAGACTGAAACAAAATTATAAAATATATTTTTAAAAAGACCTGGAATATGAAAAGAGACATAATGGTGATTTTTTTTCAAGTCTTTTAAAACAAGTGGCGTTGGCGTTTTGTGATTATTGATTTGAAGGGTATTGACTTTTATATTATTGATTAAGTGGATCGTCTTTTGTCACGGCAATAGAACAGTCAGCAAAAAAAAAAAAAAAAAAAAAAAAAACACGAGTCAACCTATTGAACAAACAAGAGATGGCACTTGTCTTTAAAACACAAGTCACTGAACCCCCCCCCCCCCCATCCCAAACACAACCACCTACACACAGTAATCTCACTATAGTTACATCCACACATGAGGGGGATAAGGGGTGTGGTGTATCATTTTGTTACATTTGGGTCCATTAGTGTTAGGGTTGACATAGTGCAAGCGTACATACTTTTTGAGCGTGGAGAAGTTGTTCACTATGGACTAGTTTGGTGAATACATTGACATAAAATTTTATTGTATCAAGAGAGTTTTTTTTTAATTTATTGAGTGCTTGGTTCTGTTACATTTTAAGCCGTGTAATTTGAAAGTTTCGGGTTTGAACTGAATAACTAGCTGATGTTTTACAGTAATTAAGAGATTTTGTTTTGTTTTTTTCTAATCCGTCACATGGACGATTAAAAGCGCTTTTTTTTTGACGATTTTTACCTCCCCCCTCCCCTCCGTCACATGTAGTCCCAAAAAGCCAGACCCCCCCCCCCCCCTAAAATGACGCCACACCTCAGCCTACAACCCCCCCCCCCCTCAAAATTGCAGTTGAATTTTTTTTTTAAACATCGATATTTTTCTAAAATCTTGTCTGAACTCAAATAGAGTATTTTAATCAATTCCTATTACAATTTATTAAAACAGTTTTCTAAAACGCGAAATAACGTCTAAAATTCGTTTTCTAACATCGCTTTTTTATAATGCAATAGTGTGACGTCGCACCATCTGAACCCCCCCCCCCTCCCCCTCATCACACACCGTCACAAAATTACGGACCCCCCTCCCCCCTACGACTGTGACGTCATTTATGGACGACCCCTATGTATGCTGGTAAGTAAACTATGAAATAGTAATATCATTCTGAGAAGGACGGTATGTTTTGTGCAATAGATTTCCTAACAGCACCAGCTGAATGGCATAAAGTGTAACGATTGTTTGCGTCACGTGATAAGGTTGTGTTGCCTGTTCGGTTGCTGAAAATAACAACCAACCAGGTGACTCTCCAACTGGGTTGAACGACCTCTTTTATGTCACATGACATAATGCGACTGTCTTTAGAAAAAAATTCTAAGAGACGGTTCAGCAACTCGGGTCTCATTCTCTCCCTTGTCGGTTTATGTTGTTGTTGGTAGTAAGTTGATCGCGTACTTGAGATTATGTGCGTGGGGTGTGTGTATAGGAGTGTGGATTGGGCTATGTGTGTGTGTGAGAGAGTTGTGATTTTTATGTGCATACGTGTGTAAAATGTGTGCTTGTGTTTGAGTTGTGTGTGTGTGTGTGTGTGTTTAGTATGTGTAAATCTGAAGTTTGCCTTGTGTATGTGTGTTTGTATGTGGATGACCGTGTGTTTGTGACGATTCCCTTCTCGGTGTGTTTCTTGTTATTTGTGTTAGTGATATCATGTCACGCTATACAATGACAATAGAAACGTTACAGTTCTTTAATCTTTATTTAGAATAGAATGTTAAAATGGTTTAAGATAGATTGATCACACACTTTGCAAAAATACTTTCTTTAAATTGTTTATTAAATTGTGTATAAAAATATTTTGTAAAATAGTGTAAAATAGGCTACAGATATTTTAAGAAAATGGACTTTTAAAAATTGAGGCATTTTTAATAAAAATTATAAATATACCTAAATAGTTTTCAATAAGAAAATAAATAAATTGCACAGAAAGTAAATTATCCTTGTTTTTACCATTATAAAATATATTTTAGAAGTAAAAAATAAAGCATTTTTAAAAAAAACATTGTATAATAAAACCTGTATAATTAATTTAGCTAATATGTATAATTTAAAATTCTTTTTTTTTTAAGTCAACACTCCCTCCTTCCTTCCCCACCATCCTCACATCGGTCAGAGCATCATGACCACCCCCCCTCCCCCACCTTCCCCCTTTTTTCGTTACCCATGCCGTCATTCGTGAATGGCACATCAGCTAAAGAAAATATTCATTCCTATTGTTAATAAACAACCGACTAGATAATTAATAATGCTTAAAATTTGGGCCTACCTTCGTGAAAACAATCCAAGAAAACACAACTCCTGATGCAGCACAGGACTGGTAATGTTGTAACTGTCAGTGATCGCACGGTAATGACGGCCTCCTCTCGATCAAAGTAACATCAACACCGTGATTAATTTATACACTCTCGCAGTTGATTCATATCTACCTCTCGTAAGAAAAGGAATGCCCCCATTCATCACTGACACGCCCACAATGTCCCCGTGATCTTACAAAACCAATGACATTGTAGCTGTACTCTACCCCCCCCCCCCCCCCCACCACTACCACCACCTAGAGTACAAACCTAACCGTGTGTTGTTATCGGTGTATTAGGTCACAGCGTGAGAGATGTGTATCGATTCCTCTCCGTGTTTATGCAACTCTAGTGCTGGGGTCGGCAACCTATTTTGAGTTAGGATCATCGGCTCAATAATATCAGGAGTCGCTAAAAAAAAAAAAATAGTTCACACCTTGATATATCAAGCTGTGTAAACTGCATCTAAACAAACTTTTCGATTTATATTTTACCTTTTTTTTAAAAAGCCAGGTGATTTTATTTCTAAATATAAAGAGACGCATTTAGTTCCCCCGAAATGTATTCAAAGATACGATTTTTTTAAATAATTTCCGAAACCGTAATTACTAATTCCGGAGTGTGTTAACTGCTTGAAAACACAATATTAGGTTTATATTTTAGCCATTTTTTAGCCAACTAATTTTAATCTTTATGAAAACAAATTGCACCCCCCCCCCCTAATATAATGTTTTTTTAAAAGATACATATTTTAAAAAATTCACCAGGGGAAGTCGCTAATTCCGGAGTCGTGTTTATAAATTCCGAGCAACGTTACGCAAAAGTGCTGTTTTCTTGTACGGCGGTGGGGTTTGTGCGAGAGGTCTATGACCTAGATCTAAGTCTTGTTCCACTTTTTGGACGCAGTCCTTTCTTACCACGTGACCTTGGTTGTAAACACACCTGCGGAGCCGAGGTTGGGGTGAAAGGTGGATGGCATTATAGGGGTGCTGGTGATGATAGGGGCGCTGGTAATATAGGAGGTGTTACAGATATGAAGGGTGCTGGCTATATACGAGGAGTGGTAATCTGAATAGTATTAGTGATCTTTTGGGTGCTTTTAATATGAGGGGTGCTGGCTGTATGAGGGGTGCTGGCTATATGAGGGGTGCTGGCTGTATGAGGGGTGCTGGCTGTATGAGGGGTGCTGGCTATATGAGGGGTGCTGGCTGTATGAGGGGTGCTGGCTATATGAGGGGTGCTGGCTGTATGAGGGGTGCTGGCTATATGAGGGGTGCTGGCTGTATGAGGGGTGCTGGCTGTATGAGGGGTGCTGGCTATATGATGGGTGCTGGCTATATGAGGGGTGATGGCTATATGAGGGGTGCTGGCTATATGAGGGGTGCTGGCTGTATGAGGGGTGCTGGCTGTATGAGGGGTGCTGGCTATATGATGGGTGCTGGCTATATGAGGGGTGATGGCTATATGAGGGGTGCTGGCTGTATGAGGGGTGCTGGCTGTATGAGGGGTGCTGGCTGTATGAGGGGTGCTGGCTATATGAGGGGTGCTGGCTGTATGAGGGGTGCTGGCTGTATGAGGGGTGCTGGCTATATGAGGGGTGCTGGCTATATGAGGGGTGCTGGCTGTATGAGGGGTGCTGGCTATATGAGGGGTGCTGGCTATATGAGGGGTGCTGGCTGTATGAGGGGTGATGGCTATATGAGGGGTGCTGGCTGTATGAGGGGTGCTGGCTGTATGAGGGGTGCTGGCTATATGAGGGGTGCTGGCTGTATGAGGGGTGCTGGCTGTATGAGGGGTGCTGGCTATATGATGGGTGCTGGCTATATGAGGGGTGATGGCTATATGAGGGGTGCTGGCTGTATGAGGGGTGCTGGCTGTATGAGGGGTGCTGGCTGTATGAGGGGTGCTGGCTATATGAGGGGTGCTGGCTGTATGAGGGGTGCTGGCTGTATGAGGGGTGCTGGCTATATGAGGGGTGCTGGCTATATGAGGGGTGCTGGCTGTATGAGGGGTGCTGGCTATATGAGGGGTGCTGGCTATATGAGGGGTGCTGGCTGTATGAGGGGTGCTGGCTATATGAGGGGTGCTGGCTGTATGAGGGGTGCTGGCTGTATGAGGGGTGCTGGCTATATGAGGGGTGCTGGCTATATGAGGGGTGCTGGCTGTATGAGGGGTGCTGGCTATATGAGGGGTGCTGGCTGTATGAGGGGTGCTGGCTGTATGAGGGGTGCTGGCTGTATGAGGGGTGCTGGCTGTATGAGGGTCGCTGGCTGTATGAGGGGTGCTGGCTGTATGAGGGGTGCTTTTAATATGAGGGGTGCTGGCTGTATGAGGGGTGCTGGCTATATGAGGGGTGATGGCTGTATGAGTGGTGCTGGATGTATGAGGGGTGCTGGCTGTATGAGGGGTGCTGGCTGTATGAGGGGTGCTGGCTGTATGAGTGGTGCTGGCTGTATGAGTGGTGCTGGATGTATGAGGGGTGCTTTTAATATGAGGGGTGCTGGCTATATGAGGGGTGCTGGCTGTATGAGGGGTGCTGGCTATATGAGTGGTGCTGGCTGTATGAGGGGTGCTGGCTGTATGAGGGGTGCTGGCTGTATGAGGGGTGCTGGCTATATGAGGGGTGCTGGCTGTATGAGGGGTGCTGGCTATATGAGGGGTGCTGGCTGTATGAGGGGTGCTGGCTGTATGGGGGGTGCTGGCTATATGAGGGGTGCTGGCTGTATGAGGGGTGCTGGCTATATGAGTGGTGCTGGCTATATGAGGGTTGCTGGCTGTATGAGGGGTGCTGGCTGTATAAGGGTCGCTGGCTGTATGGTAAGTGCTGCTATATACATTTTACAAACCTTAAATTGAAGAAAAACAACAGTTGATGAAAATACATTACTTACAATGAACTGGTAAATCGATAAAATAATCGATTTACCCGGTCTGTTTAGTGGAGAGGTTCAATTATCGATCTCTGCTGTTGCAGGAAAATTAGATGGCGTATTTATTATTTACAAAACGTGACTTCTAATTGTCGTGGCAATGTCTTATGTCCGCTTTTTCTAATGACTTACTCATGCTGACAACAGATATATAAGTTATCACATATATCACACACACAAACTCACATACATATATTTATACATATACAAATACATACGTAAATTTACATGTATATATTAA